TGTACGGAGAGAATGCCGTAAGTGAAAGTGTGTGTCGGAAGTGGTTCCAAAAATTTCGTTGCGGAGATTTTGATCTCCAAGATGCTCCTCGCTCTGGTCGACCAGTCACTACTGATCTCGATCAAATCAAGGCTTTAATCGACTCCGACCGACATTTGACGACTACGGAGATCGGACGTAACCTAAACATTGATCATCAACTGTTTCAATCCATTTACGGAAGCTTGGGATGGTAAAAAAGCTTGATGTTTGGGTGCCGCACGAACTGAGCGAAAAGAATTTAATCGACCGAATGTCAGCTTGCGATTTGCTGCTCAAACGCCATCAAAACAAACCATTTTTAAAGCGGATGATCACTGGCGATGAAAAATGGATCGTCTACAACAATGTCAGTCGAAAAAGATCATGGTCGAAGCCCGGGGAGGCTGCTCAGACGGTCGCAAAAGCTGGGTTACACCCAAAGAAGGTCATGCTCAGCATCTGGTGGGATTGAAAAGGCATAGTCTATTATGAGCTGCTGCCACCCAACCAAACGATTGATTCGACCAAGTATTGCTCACAACTGGACAAATTAAAGCGAGCAATCGATCAAGAGCGACCCGAATTGGTGAACAGAAAGGGCGTTGTGTTCCACCACGACAACGCGAGACCACACGTTTCTTTGCTGACCCGACAAAAGTTATTGCAGCTTGGGTGGGATGTTTTGGTGCACCCACCATATAGTCCGGACCTTGCACCTTCCGACTGTCACTTATTCCGATCACTACAGAACAGTTTAAATAATAAATCCTTGAGTTCCCTGGACGTTCTCAAAAATCACTTGAAGACTTCTTTGCAGAAAAATCTCAAGACTTCTACAAACGAGGGATAATGAAGCTTGTGGATAGATGGCAGAAAGTCATCGAACAGAATGGGACATATATAGTTGATTAAGATCGCTTTTTAAGGTAAAATTTTGCGTTTGAAATTTATTCGATTTTCGCTACGGACTTATGTAGATATCGCTGAAATAGATATATGTTTATCTTTTGTTTATAAACATATCAGGTAACATGATCCGATAATCGCCCCTTATTTGGTAACCTGAGCTGATAAGATAAGCTTATCTGCTGATAAGACCTCCCGCCCGCGTGACGTCATATCCCCTCGCCCCCGAAAACCCCCTCCGCCCCGCACCCCCTTCAAAGGACCTGAGTTAGAACCCGTGTTGTATTCTTACTCACATATCTATAATATACAGGTACATCAACGTTTAATAAACTCAAACATTGTGTCTCTAGGTCGTACATTACAATGTCCGCCAAAATTGGTGATAACAGGGAACCCATAGAACTACCAAAAATTTGCTCATAGAATTGTCCGTTAAAGCTAAAACTGGTCGAATCCAAGATCATTTCAATTGCGTATATAAACTGAGATAAATTAAATTTCGTGTTTTTCTCTATGTCGCTTCAGCGTTTCTTGATGCCGTCTATAACTAGTTCCTTGGGAATATTTGTAAATAAGGAATTAACATACAAAGAAATCATTACATCGTCATCATTAATAGGCATATCTTTAATGTTTTTTGCAAAAGACCACCCATCTTTAATATGGGAATTCGGTTTATATGGGAAACCTGGTCCGGAAGATATAACATATAAACTTTTACTTCAATCATCCGTTAAAATACAAAATCAACACTATTTACAATCTTATAGATCATGCCATTTTACTATCAGATGATAAATTTTATAATAAAAATATTAATATAGTACAGCAGACTTTAATGAACAATTGCTTTCCAACACATATTATTAAACGACATATAAGTAAAAGAATTAATTTTTTAAAAAATAATAATAGTAATAATGTTACAAATGAGACTTATGAAGTGCAAGAAAACAAGTCTCCTTATATTTCATTGCCGTATGTCAAAAATGTGAGTGAGAATATCGGTCGTTCATTGAAAAATGCTGGCTTTAGTGTAATCTATAAAACAGCCAAAAAATTGGACATATTAATAAAACGAGGCAAAGATAGATTACCTAACGACGGTAGAACTAATGTTGTGTATAAAATTGACTGTAAAAATTGTGATTCCTCATATATCGGTCAAACAAAAAGACATTTGCGTACTCGTATGAAAAAACATTCTAACAATATAAAATTACATGTAACAAATCATTCGGTCGTAAGCAAACATAGACAAGATTTGGAACATGAAATTGATTGGGTATCACCCGTTATATTACATAATGAACAACATGTTAGAAAGAGAGAAATCGCAGAGATGTTTTTTATCAAAAAAGTTAATAATACAGTTAACCTACATAAAGACACAGAGAATTTAAACAACATCTATGACAAAATTATAAAGGTCGTATAAAAATTTTATATACTCAGTTTTTTGACGATCCATCATAACGATAAGATGCGGTTACTTTCTTTCAAAAGTTCTTTCAAAAGTTATTTCAAATGTTTTTAAAGAATTCCGATAATCATATTGGTTAATAATCATGACAACAGTGTCAACTAACTGCGCTTTTATCAAGGAAGTATGTAAAAAATTATTAATTCTTGCGTTTAACATCAAAAATGTTTATTAATTTTAATTAATTGTACCATTCTAGTTTTTCACTTGAAAAGGACCAAAAACAGATGGTCAAAACGTTGTGGAAATAAAATAAAAATTTCTTGGCTAGTTTGGGCCAAATTAAATATATCGTTTCTATTAAAAAATAGGTTTACAAAACGACCGACTTTGAATATACAAAGTAATATAAAACTTGTAAAATATATATGTATTATTTTTATAATAAAATTTCTAAAGTTGATTCTAATGTAAGATTTTGGAGATATAGTTTTTGACGCGGACTTAACATCTTTTTTTATCTTTTTTAAAATGAAATTTTTTGTACATATAAAAAACATTTATGAGTTCTTTATAAAAAATTCCGAAGAAAACCAAAAAAAGCTTGTTACATAAGATTCACTCTAAAACGATTTTTAATAATTATAAAGTGATAAAGTCAAATTGTATTTGCAATATGACAAGTAATTAACAAACTATCAATACGTTACCTTAAAGAAAATTGATAATCCTAACTCTTTGATTACTGTGGAATGTGAATGTCCAAAGCTCTTAGGTTATATTTCAGTCAATTAACAATCAAAGAGCTTTATCACAATAAGCGTAGACCTATAATATTTAATTACACGCTATGGTTAATAAGTCCACCAATATCAAAACACGATAAAATGTTTTATTTTGTTTATTAAATTTAATTAATTTATTATTAAGAAATAGAATTGTAATATGTTCAAGTATTCTACAAAGTAAATGATATTTTGCAAAAATAATAAAATTTTAATAACTTTAATTGTATATATTTGTTACACGTAACGTTTTCACCAACAGATTTAGAATATAATCATGTTAAATCATTATATTCCTTATTAATTTGATTGCATAGAAAATATTTAATTATCACGCACATGATTTTATATAATAAACAATTATCTCATCAATATGAATATGTGCAGATATAATATAATAAATATAAATATGTGAATATATTATTCTGTTTGCAATTTTTAATTATTAAATTATATTATTTCCAAATTATATGCATAATAGATATGCAACAAAACTATTATTATTAACAATATATATTTGCAATCCAGATATTATATGAAACTATTCACACACAAGAAAAATAATATTTTAAAAAGTTCATGCTGGTGTACGATTACATTTTTGTTTAATTGGCAAACAAATATTTAATAAAATTTATTAATTTAAAAAAAGGAAAAAGAAAAATGAATCTTTTTAATATAAAAAAAATATAAATATATAAATAAATACATAATAACAAAATATATACATTCTAAGCATTTAAATAATAATACAATTTTAAAACAAGACCATTTATATAAATATTTATATACAACGTATTCTAATTATGTTATTCAATATTTTTCAATATTTCTCTCTAATAATTTATTTATAATAAATAAACACAATTTGAATGTAATATGTAAAAACATTGTGAAATGGTTACCTAGTTGAATGCAGAAATGTTCTCCAGAAAAAAACTGTATGGTTACACTTCGTTGTATTACCAAACTTCCTGCAATATTTACATTTGATTAATAATTTTGAATTATAATATATATTGTATATATGTACAACACATTTTATTATAACATATTATACATTTATTATTTTAGAACAAATAAAAAATTCGAGAAATATATATTAACATTAAATATAATTAAATTAAATATAATAAAATGTATAATGAATTGAAAATGTTCTGAATAAAAATATGGTTTAAAAAACGTAAATTATTTATTATTTATATTGTAACTATTACGTACAATAACTTTGCTAGAACCAAGGAAAAGGTATATATTATTTAAATTCAGTCATTTTAATATCATCAATCAAACATCTTCGATTAAAATTTAAATTGTATTAATTGTTACACATTGTTAATTAATGGAAATAGAGAAATTATATCGATTTTCTTAAGTCAATCATTAATGGAAGAGATTCGCATTAAATTTGCTATATTTAATCGTCAATTAAATATTTTTTAATTGTTTCTGCTCAAATCAATTGTCAATTGAATTGTCTTCGATTGAATCTGTTTTTTTCAATCGTCAATTAAAGTACTTCTAATTAAAATTAACTCATATTAATCGTTAATTAAAAAACTTTTAATTAAATTAGCTTGTATTAATTTTTAATCGATCGTTCTCCGATTAATTTCGTTTATATCAATTGTCAATTAAATAATCTTTAATTGACTTCGATCATATTAATTGTTAATTAAACGATCTTCGATTAATCGAGCTTATATCAATCGTCATTGTAACGAAATCTAATTAATCTTTCTAAAATTAATCGTCAATTAAAAAAATTTTAATTACATTTGATTACATCTGTTGTAATTAAATGTCATAATTAATTTAAAAAGTAATTAATTAATGAGCATCTTTGCTGGGTATATTGATTAAATTTAATTAAATTAAAATATAACTAACCTCTACGATAGTCGGCGGCGACGTGGTCGGCTTCATTCATCGGTATCTGAAATGTATAAAGAATATTAGTTTTATAATAGTTTTTTATAATAAAAAATAATAGTATTTTATAATGAAAAATAAAATACTTACATCTTCTGCCATTTCGGTGTTTGAGTACATCTGGAATTATAATAAAATGAAATATATTTAACAGATTAAAAAGAAGAAACTATTATATATATATATATATAAAATATGTGGAATTGTATGAGCGCACGTGATCGCGGCCGGGCGCAAGGATATGGAGTGTTGAAATTTACTTGGTTGGGCGTTAAAAGTTCCATGTGACTGTTAAATGCTCGTGATTTGATTGAGCCGGAAATTCTAAAGATCTCCTTAATTAATTACACACGTACGGATTTTAACACTTGTTCGAATCGCGTCCCCTTGCGCTCAACCGTATAATAGACAAAATAAGATCTGGATATTTCGAACACCTGATGTAACGAGTTGATGCGCGTAAACAAGTTTTTATGCGCGAACGACAAGAGTAACATTAAAGTACGTCCGAAATATATTTATTGCAAAACTATATGTAAAATCATAATTATAATCACGGAACCAATAAATAAGATGCGAATATCTCAAAAATTCACGAAAAGATCCCGAAAAGTTCATAAAAATGACAATGTTCCGTCGCTTAATGCTAGTCGTTCTCGCGAAATAAATTATTAATAATAAACGAACTTAATTGCTGACTACTAATTAACTGATTCTACATTTCATTAAAGACGATGATGATGTTAGAACGATAGTTTACAGAATCTTATATGTATATGACTTACCGAAGTTAGTTGCTGAGATGTTAGTCTTCTCACGACCACAAACTGATTAGACCGCAGGCTGCGCGACAGGGGTGCGTAATTGTGCGGCTTGTATTTAGAATGATATGCTCGATGCCACGCGTTTCACACGTGTTGTTCTTGGCCGCGTGTTCATATCATCGATGTTTTCGACAATTTTCGGTGCAACAAAATAATCGCTGCTTTAATCAGGTAATGATTTTATATTGTACGTATCAAAATATTTATTATAAATAAATTTGTGAATATGTTGATGAAGTTAATGTGTAAAGTTATAAGATAATTAATTCTTTATATATTTGGATTATAATTAAATATTAATTTTATAATAGTACAGACACACACACACACATACACACACACACTCACGCGCGCGCTTATGTCCGTGTGTTGATACGTATATCTATATTCTTTAATTAATATTTAAATTTATATTGTACATATGCAGAATATATATACAGAATATCACAGAATTAGTAGTAAACCTATTGTGCTTGCGCGAACGCTTGAAGGAGAGCGCTTAATTGAAGGCCGAAAGAAATCATTCACCTTTTAATAATTAACACAGAATTTACTTTCACAATTTAAACGATACAGTGATTTTACAAAATTCCAATAGATAAGTTGAGTTCGATTTCCAAGTGAGTGTGCGGTAATAATTGCGGTAATAATTGCGGTAATAATTGCGGTACTGAGACTTGAGAGACTAGCCGCCCAATTTTGGTGGGCGCTTCTTTTATCGGTGCGGTACTGAAGCCCCACTAATTTTTACTTCACCAATTAATTTCGGTTATTTAAAAATGTTCGAAGGTGACGCGAGGGCGCCTGTCTTTATTGGCGGCCCCGTAATTTACGCGAAACAAGCACGCACCTGACATGCGTGAAATGCTCGATAGCGAGATCGATTGGCTTTCGGAAGCCACGTGATCGAACGGCGCATGTCTATTACATTGATAATCAATGCGGTGATCGTTGCTTTCGGTTAAGCAATGTTGTTGTTATTGACAGCTTGTTAAAATAATCCTGATTTATCGCCTACTTGTTTATATCGGGCGAGCCTTTTTTCCGCGGTTTTTTCGCATATTCATCGGAAGAAAATATCGATTTTTAGACAGAAAAATACAGACTGAAATAATTATATTAATTTCTTCTCAATTTCGAACATCCCGCCCGCCTTGTCACCCGTTGACAATAAGTCGCTATGAATGTTCGATCGCGATTGATAGTGGGGTAGGCGCGCGCCGGCGCGGCGAGATACACGTAATTATCGCGTGGAATGTCGCTCGATCAGCTGAAACGATGAACACGTGTTGACAGTGTGGTGCGATCAGCTGAGAATAGTGACACGCGGTTTCGATGTGAAATAATGCGTGTGAATGTAAACAGTGGTTACAGTGCGTATGTGATGTGTCGTGTATTTCTGTCTATGCGTTGCGTGTCGTTACGTCCGTTGTGAAGTCGGGAAGTAAGACGATTTTTACGAGCGGACGCACGAGCTCGGAGGTCGCGGTTCGAACGGTGACCACGCGTACGATCCCGTCGTCGCCGGGATGCAGTTTTGTGATCCGGGCGAGAGGCCATCGGTTTGGAGGCGAAATCTCGGAGCGCACAAGGCAGAGTGCTCCGATGTGAGGTGTGGTATCGACCTTCAACCATTTAGGTCGTGAGATGAGTCCATGGATGTACTCTCCCGACCATTTTTGCCAAAAGTGATCTCGCATCGCCTGGAGATGATGCCATTGTGATGCTGCGGATCCACTGGTGTCCTCCTGTACTGGCTCCGGGATGGCGAGAAGCGGCGCGCCAATCAGGAAGTGGCCCGGAGTCAGTGCTGTAATATCGTCTGGATCGTCAGAGAGTGCCTGTAATGGACGAGAATTTAAACAGGCCTCAATTTGTGTGAGGAGAGTGGTCAGTTCCTCAAAGGTGAGAGTGGTTTCACCTATCACCCTCCGCAAGTGATACTTAGCGGATTTGACGGCTGCCTCCCACAATCCGCCGAAGTGCGGAGCTGCTGGTGGATTAAAGTGCCACCGTATGCCATGTTCAGCAGCTACGCGTGCGATTCCACGACCCTCTGTGGATGCAGCGACGAAGAGTTCCCGTAAAGTGCGGTCAGCCCCGATGAAGGTCGTTTCACAGTCGCTATATATGTCCGTACAGAGACCTCGACGTGAGACAAAGCGACGTAAAGCGGCGATGAAGGCCTCTGAAGAGTAATCCGAGACAAGTTCGAGGTGGATGGCTCTGGACCAAAAACAGATGAATACTGCGATATAGCCCTTATAGGCGCGGTGTCCTCGTTCCTTGCTCGTCCGGATGAGGATGGGTCCTGCATAGTCCACTCCAGTGCGCAGAAATGGCCGAGTCGGAGTGACCCGATCGCGGGGTAGATTACCCATCGGTGGCTGCAGCGTCGTTGCTCGCCATCTTGTGCAGGTGATGCAGCGATGTAGTTGCTGTTTCACAACTGTGCGTCCTCGTGGAATCCAGAAGCGCAGTCGAAGCAGCCCCAGGGTAAGTTGCACTCCGCCATGCAGCGTCCGACGGTGACAGGATTCCACCAGCAGACGAGTCAGCCACGACGAGGTTGGAATGATCATCGGGTGCCTCTCATCTTGTGTCAGCAGGGCGTGCTTAAGCCGACCTCCCACTCTCAGAACACCATGGTCGTCGAGGAACGAAGTCAGCTTGACTAATGTGCTGCGTGGTGCGACGGAGCGTCCAGCTGCGACTGCGGTGATCTCGTCCGTGAAGTGCAGTGTCTGCACTTCTCGAAGCCAGCGAAAGAGTGCCATGTCGAGTTCCTCAGGACTCAACGTTAGTCCAGCGGTGTGAGTCGGCTCAGAAGCGCGCAGCCAGCGACGGCACCATGCGGATATCCGTAGCAGGCGATGCAGAGATGAGAAGCGGAGCAGGATTTCTGGCTCGACGATGACCCGGTTGACAGTCATCAGGCTCGTGGCTTTCCTTTCTGGCACGTCGTCTCCTCGGATCTCCATCACGGAATTTGGCCAGGCCGATTCGTGCTGTGACAACCAGGTAGGTCCTGTCCACCATAAAGCGTGATTGATTAGTTCGCTTGGATTAATACCCCTTGATGCACAGTCCGCAGGGTTGTCGCGACCAGCTACGTGTCTCCATTGTGCATTAGGCAGCTGCGTCTGGATGTGAGCGACTCGATTGGCGACGAAAGTCTTCCAGCGTGAGGAGTGACCGCGAATCCATTGGAGGGTCACTGTTGAATCTGACCATAAGTACGTGTCTGATGTTGCCAGGTCGAGCGTTTGTTTGACATGTCGCGTCAAATTGGTGAGTAGCGTGGCGGCGCACAACTCCAGCCTCGGCAAGGTCACTTGTTTGACGGGTGCTAATTTGCTTTTGGCCATCAATAACCTTACTGGCGTTTCGTTCCTTTCAGTAATGCGGATGTATACTGCGGCTGCATATCCTCGTTCGGATGCATCGGCGAAGCCATGAAGCTGCAGCGAGGCCTTATCTGCTCCGGTCCCGAGCCAGCGTTTTATTCGCACCTGATCTAGAAGATGGAGTTCTTCTAGAAGACGTTGCCACTCTCGAGCGTCGGATGGCGGCAGCGGGGTGTCCCAGTCCAATCCTTGCAGCCACGTGGATTGAATGAGAATTTTTGCTCGAATCACGACTGGAGCGAGCCACCCCATTGGATCGAAGAGCCGTGCGGTTTTGGATAAAACCGTTCTCTTCGTGTGGTTGATGGCAGCGTGCGGATGAAACACGAAAGAGAACTGGTCGTGTTGCGGGTGCCAGCGGAGTCCTAGCGTGGAGTGACTCTCTCCTTCCCAAGCTGGCGGCAATTGCTGCAAACGATGATCGCTTGGTACTCCAGTCAGGATCCTCTCGTCGTTGGCTGCCCACTTCTTCAACGGAAATCCGCCCGCCAAGCAGAGGTTGCGAATTTCCATCTGGAGTGCGATCGCATCGTTCAGCGTATTTGAGCCGGTAACCACATCGTCGACATAACAATCTCGACGCAGAGCTACGGCGCCACGAGGAAACTGCTCTTCTTCGTCCGTTGCGAGCTGACGGAGTGTCCGTATGGCGAGAAACGGAGCACACGCCAGACCGTAGGTGACCGTTCTCAGCTGGTACTCTCGTACTTCATCATCAGTTGAATGACGCCACAGGATCGTTTGGAATCTGCAGTCATCCGGATGCACGAGTATCTGCCGATAAATTTTCTCTATATCAGCAACGAAGACATACTGGTGTTGACGCCATCGGAGTAGTACGTCAGGAAGAGCTGGCAGAAGATTTGCTCCAGTCATGAGGTGTGCGTTTAAAGAGTCTCCAGTTCGCGTTCGCTGCGACCCATTGAACACGACCCTCAGCTTCGTCGTGGCACTGGACTCCTTGAGTACTCCATGATGTGGTAAGTACGTTGACTGATTGCTCGTTGTGGAGCATGTCACCAGCGTCATGTGTTTCAGGTCTTCGTATTCTGTCATGAAGCTGCGATACAGATTGCCGAATCGAGGGTCCTGGACGCATCGCCTCTCCCTCGTTGTGAGAAGCCGCTCGGCTGGTTTGCGGGTTTCGCGGAGTGCAGTGATTGGTGAGGAGAACGGCAGCTTCACCACGTATCGTCCTGAAAAGGTGCGAGTGTGCGTGTGCACGAAGAATTCCTCGCATTGCTGCTCTTCGGCGGAGAGTGTCGTGACTGCGTTGGGCTCCCGTTCCTGTTCCCAAAACTGCTGCACCAGCTCGAATAGCTCGTGATCGGCAGTGCACTGGAATGTGCGACGGTGCTCTTCTGCGGATGCGACGCCGGAGCCTCCAGAGAGGATCCATCCTAGCGATGTCTTCTGCGCGATTGGCATCTGAGGTCCACCCTTGCGTAGACCCTCTTCAAGAATTAAGGAGCACACCTCCGCTCCCAGGAGTAGCTCGGCTGGATCGTTCTCGCGAAATTGAGGATCCGCCAGTTGGAGTCCTCGAATATGCGGCCAATCTTCTGGTGTGCTGGACGTGGAGCCTTGAAGAAGTGACAGGCGTGGCAGTATAAACGCAATCACGGAGAGCCGGGCGTTCGTGATGTCCGAAGTGAGGTGCAGCGTGACCTTGCCACGCGTTGATCCTGGTCGTGCGCCTCCGATCCCAAAGATGGCCATGTCGGTGCGTGATCGAGGCAGGTTCAGTCGTTGCACCAGTGCTTCAGAACCGATCGACACCTCTGATCCCTGATCGATCAGTGCTCGGACGTCGTGCGGTGCTCCATGGCAATCGGCTACGTTCACCCGAGCAGTGGCGAGGAGTACAGCCTTCTGCTCCTTGGCTTTGTGCAGTGCGGCGAGTGAAGTGGCTTCTGGTGTGTGTGCGGTGACCGTGCTGTATGCGTCGTGCAGTGAAGTGTGATGACGTGCCTTGCATGTGTAGCAGTTCTTCTTCGACACATTTTGTAAGATAATGATTTCCGAGGCAGTTGAAACACAGTCTGTGCGTCTCAACGAAGGCCTTTCGATCTGTCGCGGATTTCGTCTTAAATTCGCGACACGTCATCAGATGGTGCTTCTCATGGCACAGTGCGCATTGTGGAAGGTCAGTTCCGTGCTTCGCAACATGTGTCTTCGCCGTTCGTGAAGACTCTCCGAAGTTCTTCTTGAAAGTCTTCGGATGCACGGCGTTAAGTGTGAACATCCGTCGCGTCATGAACTCCAAAAGTGTTTCGTGCGATGGTGACTTGTTGGAGTCGGATATGGAATTTTCCCATTCCATTCGAGTGTGTGCGTCGAATTGCTCGACGATAAGATAGTTTAGGAGGTCCATTCCGTGAGATTCAATGGGACGACCTATACTCTCCTGTGCGTTGACGACTGTGACGGCAGCGTTGTGGATGCGATGCAGTTCGTCAGCGGTTCCGGTTTTCATTCTCGGCACGGCGGTGAATGCGGCGAAGTTGCATCGGATGAGTTCTCTCTCGTTTTCGTAGTGTTTGCACAGTATCGTCCATGCACGTTCGTAGTTGTCTCCTGTCACCGGTAATGAACTTATCAATTTTTCAGCCTGTCCGTTCAAACTCGACCGAAGATGATGCAGGCGTTCGATGTTAGAGATGGTGGCGTTATCACCGACGACAGACAGGAAGAGATCTCGGAAGGTTGGCCACTCGGAGTAAGCTCCCGAAAACTGCGGAATCCTGACTCGAGGTAATGCGGTTCTAGGAGCGGCTTCGTTTAGCTTGACGGTTTCCGAGGCTGACCGAATGCGTTCAGCGTAACCGTCCAGGATGCTCCTTTGCTGTACGTACGTATTTTCAGTCAAATCATGGAGTCCTGAAGTAACGTAATCACTTTCTCTGAACTTATCTTTCAAGGCAATACGCAGCTGATCGTGCTGGATGACGAACTTATCCCAGGCTTGATCAAGAAGTCTGATGCGGGTAGTGACGGCACTGGATGTGATGTTAGGAGCGCCCATCTTCTTCAGGTATTCGACCGAGCGTGAGATTCGAACTTGGATCTCACGCTGACTATCTAACAATATAGCGGCATCCATGATGTGACACTTACTGTATTTCTTTTTCAGGCACTTCACTCTCGTCTTCAAGAATGTTCACACGCCTGCCGGCGCGACGACCTGATAAAAGATCCGGCTCGAAGGACCAAAAATGTGTTTGCGCGAACGCTTGAAGGAGAGCGCTTAATTGAAGGCCGAAAGAAATCATTCACCTTTTAATAATTAACACAGAATTTACTTTCACAATTTAAACGATACAGTGATTTTACAAAATTCCAATAGATAAGTCGAGTTCGATTTCCAAGTGAGTGTGCGGTAATAATTGCGGTAATAATTGCGGTAATAATTGCGGTACTGCGGTACTGAGACTCGAGAGACTAGCCGCCCAATTTTGGTGGGCGCTTCTTTTATCGGTGCGGTACTGAAGCCCCACTAATTTTTACTTCACCAATTAATTTCGGTTATTTAAAAATGTTCGAAGGTGACGCGAGGGCGCCTGTCTTTATTGGCGGCCCCGTAATTTACGCGAAACAAGCACGCACCTGACATGCGCGAAATGCTCGATAGCGAGATCGATTGGCTTTCGGAAGCCACGTGATCGAACGGCGCATGTCTATTACATTGATAATCAATGCGGTGATCGTTGCTTTCGGTTAAGCAATGTTGTTGTTATTGACAGCTTGTTAAAATAATCCTGATTTATCGCCTACTTGTTTATATCGGGCGAGCCTTTTTTCCGCGGTTTTTTCGCATATTTATCGGAAGAAAATATCGATTTTTAGACAGAAAAATACAGACTGAAATAATTATATTAATTTCTTCTCAATTTCGAACACCTATTAATGAAAGAGTCTTGAGATAATTGGGAGACGATTTTGCTTCTAACTATATTGATATATAAATTTATAAACTATATAGTTTTTTTCAAAAATTTTGATTTTTCTCAATATTTTATATACAAAATTTTTGAAACAAGATCGACGAAAAATTAATATTTTATGAGATACTTACGTTCATGCAAAATAATGTGTTAAAGATGTAAAATACCCTGTTAAATATTCTCTTTGTGATTATCTTATTCTTACAACTTATTGTTTTAATAATTATATTTCACTTTTACGCGATTTTTATTCTTTTTATTATTCCCTTTATTTCTATATGTGTATATCGTCTATAATTCTTATAATTTCTTTTCTTTTAATTGCATCTTTTGCTATTTTTTATTTGCTTTCGAATTATTACCCTGTATACATATACAGGGTGAGTCATTTTAATCTATGGACCCGAATATCTTCCAAATTACGGTATCTACGAAAAAATGGTTTAGATAAAAGTTGACCAGGACAGAGAGGGTCATTCAATTGTACCATTGGTTTTGACCTTGAGGTCAATTTTGAAGGTTATTTCAAGGTCACGATGGTTTTTTTAAATGGGACACCCTATTTTTGACTGCGGATTTTGAAAGAGCGGAAAATTTTACATCAAACTTGTCTTATAAAAAAAAATTGTTTTTGCGACCTTGGAAAGGTCAAAAATAAAGATGAAATGCCTGAAAAACGATCTGGTGTATTTTTTCTGAAATGACGTGGTTTTCTGGGTAACACAAATGTGCATAATGCTTAAACAAAGTCAATGAATTGTAAAAGTGTAAATCACTTTGACTAGCTTGACCTTGAGGTCAATTTTCAAAGTTGTTTGAGGTTTATAACGCATTTTTTTATTAGTAAACCCTATTTTTGACCGCAGAATCCGTTTCTTGACAATGGACTCTTAAACAATGGCACATTTTACATGAGCATAAGGATTTTTTAGTTTTTTGACCTGACCTTTTGAAGGTCATATCAAGGTCAAAAGCACTTTCATTTTACTTTTAGCGTTACCCGGAAACAACGACGTGGACATAGTAAGTTCTGTTTCCTTTAGGGTGCTTGATCCCCTTGCCTCTCACGTCGGGGTGCTTGATTATCGTGAGTCCCCTTGCCTCTCACGTCGGGGTGTTTGATTATCGTGAGTCCCCTTGCCTCTCACGTCGGGGTGCTTGATTATCGTGAGTCCCCTTGCCTCTCACGTCGGGGTGCTTGATTATTGTATTTCCCCTTGCCTCTCACGTCGGGGTGCTTGATTATTGTATTTCCCCTTGCCTCTCACGTCGGGGTGCTTGATTATCGTGAGTCCCCTTGCCTCTCACGTCGGGGTGCTTGATTATTGTATGTCCCCTTGCCTCTCACGTCGGGGTGCCTGATTATCTTGAGTCCCCTTGCCTCTCACGTCGGGGTGCTTGATTATCGTGAGTCCCCTTGCCTCTCACGTCGGGGTGCTTGATTATTGTATGTCCCCTTGCCCCTCACGTCGGTGTGCTTAATTATTGTATGTCCCCTTGCCTCTCACGTCGGGGTGCTTGATTATCGTGAGTCCCCTTGCCTCTCACGTCGGGGTGCTTGATTATTGTATGTCCCCTTGCCTCTCACGTCGGGGTGCCTGATTATCGTGAGTCCCCTTGCCTCTCACGTCGGGGTGCTTGATTATCGTGAGTCCCCTTGCCTCTCACGTCGGGGTGCTTGATTATTGTAAGTCCCCTTACCTCTCACGTCGGGGTGCCTGATTGTCGTGAGTCCCCTTGCCTCTCACTGACACTGTAATTCAAATGAACTACCCACGGAGTAATTGTTCAAAATTACCTCCGTTGACTTCGAGACATAACTGCAATCTGTTTTGAAAACTATCCACAGTTCTAAGCAGGGTAGCTCTAGGAATGGCTGCACAAGCTCTACGAATGCGGTCCATAAAATCATGTCTTGTGGTTGGTCGTTCAGCAAAAACAACATTTTTCAAGTATCCCCATAAAAAGAAATCGGGCGACGTCAGATCTGGTGAGCAAGGAGCCCATTCAACTGGACCCCTTCGTCCAATCCGTCTGTCATTGTAACTGGCATTTAAAAAGGCACGTATAATGAGTGCATAATGCGGTGCAGCACCATCTTGTTGAAGCCACATTCTTGCTCTTGTTGATAAGTCAACATCTTCTAATAAGCCTGGTAAGTGATCTCTTAGCAACGATAAGTATATGTTGCAGAAAATATACTTTTATTTAAAACATTTTAATTTTAAAAAACAGAAGTAAATTAGCATAATTATTGATTTTGAACAAGAACGCTGAAAAAGCAGTAATACACCTTTTTTACATTTTTTCATAAAGATATTTTATACATTGTTTTATAAAAAATAAAACAAACTGAGATAAACGAAAATTTACAAAAATATTTGATATTGTAAATATTAAAAATTATAAATACAATCATCAAAAACCAAAAATAAACTAAAATTAAACAAAACAATTATTCGTTTCATCTCCAAACGTAAAACAATACTGATACATTTTAATACGTAAAATTAAAATTATGATAATAAAATAAAACACTTATTAATTAAGAGATAGAATTACTTGTGATAATAAAATAGTATTATAAATAATAACACATATAATAAAACTTTGAAAAAGAAAACTGATATTGAACTAAGTCTTTGTAAACCAAGCATATTAAAAAGAAACTAAAAATGCAAGTAAATAAAATACTAAACAAAGAATGAAACATACATCATAACGATTTAAATTGCTTAGTTTTTTTGTAATGGCCCGAAGTTAATTGCACCGATTTCATCTTATTCTTGTCTTTAACATACTTATGTATTAAAAATTGCAAACTATTTTTTACAATTATATTGCCACACCGATGAGTACTACAAAATTTGCTGTTGTAGTTAAAAAATATGTTTAAAAGTCAATTCTAAGTTTGATTTATATCCGTTTTCATCACAAAAGTGAAGTAATCTATTGTGTACATTTTGTATTAATGTAATCATTTTATCGCTTGGATACGTTAATGAATCTTTTTCGGAATATTCCTTAAAAACTGTATATACATGATGCTGTTCTTGTTGTGTACAAAACAAATCAGTTTGACATTTTGAACAATTTGCATCGGGAAGTTTTAGTTTTTTTACAAGATAACCCGTCACGTAAGAAAGAGCTTGAGACGCATCCGTGTTCAATTCTTCTAAATCAGTCCATTGAAGAGTATTATAGTCGTTATTCTCTAATAATTCAGTTTCGTTTTCGTTAAAGTCATTACAATTATCTAAAAACTTTCGAAAATTGTTCAAATTTTCACAGTTATCGTTTTCACAATTGGCAGATTTGGAGACCGGTGCAACAAGATTATTTAATATTACAGATTTTAAGGCTGCTACAAATTGATGACAGGTGGGATTAGAATTTGCAATTCCATGTTGACGAATTTGGCAAAACAGATTTTCTACCGGATCTTGATTTAGATTCCTCATATTTAAATATTTAAAACCGAGAGTTTTTAATTGATGCCACAAATACATCACCGAGCGGATTGTTATCGTCCAACCTTTTATAAAATGATATTGATTTGTGACATCTTTTTCAGTATTTAAATCAAATAATTTCCAGTTAGTTATTTCTGAGAGTAATTTACTGTATAACTGAAAGTGAGGTGAATCGTCTTGCAAACAACATCTGTACTGCTTACCGTCATCTGGATTAATTGTAGAACCATTTAAGGAGTCGAAAAGATTATCTATAAGTTCTGCAAATTCTGCCGTTTGTATTGATTCAACTGGAAACAATCCGTTAACATTAGAGACGCTAAAAGAATGAATAGCTGCAGCAACAGTATGACTTAATTGACGTGCTGCAGTTTTTACCCTCATCTTAACAAAAGAGTCTTGAAAATTAAAATCCTGTTTCTTTAATTTGTAAAAGAGTTTAAAAGGAAAATCTTGTTCAACATCAAAAGCATTTCTAATGTATTTAAATTTAGCTATTTTATTGTCTGCAAATTTAATTTTACAACGGAGTAAGGCGTTTCGAGTGCATTTTAATAAATGAGGCACGTCGTAAATAGTTACTATAGTTTCAGAATTAACGGTAAACGTGTAACAAGTTGGATCTGTTTTATTTTCTGTGCACAATGCAGATAAAGCTTTTCTTTGAATTAAACCTTGATCGCAAACAGTTGCTTTAACTTTTAGTCCAATCCCTTGTAATTGCATAATAACATTTGTTATGATATATTTT